TTTAAAATCTTGTAAAATAAACTACTTTTTAAATGCTCTCTTACAGGACCTAGCAACAATGGTTGAGCAACTGGTGAGGTTCTTAGGAGTTTCTTACGACAAAGCACAATTGGAATCCATGGTGGAACACTGCCATCAACTCATTGATCAGTGCTGTAATGCAGAAGCACTTCCCGTTGGCAGGGGTATGTTTAAAACCCACAGTAACACTCTTATTGTGGAAGCTGCAAGAAGCAACTGACAACTTCATAACCTCCAGGATGTGTTAAAATGTTGGAAAAATATTGCTGTGTGAATGATGGGAGGTAACTGACTTAGTGCAATTTGGGGGTTTGTTTGTTTTGAAGTAAAGTTAGGTAGAAGTGACTAAAAAGGATGGAAACATCCAAGATCAACAATGTATGTTCAACATTGTAAAAACCACTTCATTGGAGAATCTTTGGCTTAGGTCTAGACCTGAGCTATTCGTGCTGAGAAGAGTGCACTGCTCCTTCTGACCTTTGGCATGTCAAAGCCCACACAATTTCATGCAGTTTGTCCTGGCCTAAGCCCTATATTAGATTTTCTAGAATAGCAGATAATTCTAACTTGAAGGCAAGTTTTCCTTGTGAGCTTTTTCTTTTCATGGTCTACCTCAACTGTTTAAAATGTGTTTAGCTTCTAGGTGTTTATTCTGGTGAGGTTTTTCTCTAGTGCCCTTTAAATTGCTGATACATCTGTCCTTTGATAACGTCAAGAAATCAAGTCCTTTTTCAGTCTTCCTTCTGATAAGCATAAAAGAGTGACCTCAGTAAGTCTCCCTCAAATTATTTTCTGTAGGCTGCTTTACAGCACTTAACAGTTCTTTTTAAAAATAAGGCTGTAAGATCAAGATGGAAAATTCCTATGTCGGCCTCACAAATGCCTTACCCTGACATAAAATACTTTATCCACTGATTTAATCCAGTTATAACTGGAACTTTCTCTCCCCATCTCCCTTGTTTGTCCATCCATGGCCACATTAGCATTTTTTGCTGCAGCATCATACTTGAAGCATGTGTCGTTTATCATGACCACAAAGGCTTTTCAGAGAACTAATTTGCAGGTTCTTGTCCCTTACTCAGGGAGCATGACCTGAATACTTTCTTCTCAGGTTTCTGTCTAGGAGCCCTCTCAGCCAACGTTCTTGTTATCTGCAGATTTTATCAGCTGTAATTTTTATAATTATTTTCAAATAATCCTTCTTGACTGCTAATTTTGAGTTAGCCAGTTGTTTATTCATTTATCATGCATTTTATTGACATTATATAGTTCTATTAAAAAGACCTAAAATCACACACCTTACAAAAGTCTATTGTATCTTTGAATTCACCTTTGGTCGGTTGAACTGCAGTCTTACCAACACTCAGTCAGGTTGGTTTGAGAGCAAGTTTGCTTTGCCATGAAAGCAGGTTCACTGGTATTCTATACCACTTGCGTCTGTCTTGGCAGAGCCTTGTGCCAGTTTTCCATTACTCAGCTCAGACTATTGTCAGAGTAACTGACGCAGGATAACTTGTCCTGTTTGTATGTTGGCACAAACATTTCAGAATGTCAAACTTGGAAAAAAGCTATTGCTCACACCTCCTGGCTTTTATCTGTGACTTGGCACACCTGGTATGGAAAGACTCTTAGTATGTTATGTAGGGGCTATATGCTCCATTTATTACAGTAGGACCTGGAAACCAGATTCCTGTGGGCAGTTCTCTGTCATAACTGTGATATGGCACCTTTTTTTGCCCCGGTTCACTTATCGTAAACGATGACTTCCTGAAATAAATATATCAAGTTTGCTGGCTTGAGGTAAATTTGTCTTCACACAAAGGAGTTTGTAGTTTCACTGAAAGACTGAATATATTCCCTATAGTTTCTGGTAGAGTCTCCACTGAATGGTGTGTTTTCCTGCTCTTAGTTACCTTGCTTTCAGCTCCAATCCTACCCTCCCCTTGCTACTTCAAACTGAAAATTCAGCATGTAATACAACCTGTATCTTGTGTGAAAACAACAGACCATCTCATTTGCAGTAGGATTTTATGGTGCAGTGCCTAACTGCTTGCCAACCCACTTCTCTGCTGTGAAGACAAGATCACAAAATAATAAGTCTGGTAAGGCATCCTGAGGGCCTTGGATAAAGTGTCAGTGCAAGATTTTACAAGCATCAGAGCTGCGTTCTGCTCCATTGGTGTGCATGTAACACAAAACCCTAGGCTTGTTCCAAACCTCCATGATCTGGAGATGCGTGGAGCAGCAGCACTGCCACGTGCTATGCACAGCCCAAAGCCCCACTGCTTATCCAGTGAAAACCAGAAAGGCAGTTGTGAAAGAAAGGTGAGGTTGTGATACACGAGAAGAGAGAACAGAGCTGCTGGTGCGACCTTCCACAGGCAGAAAGGTCAACTGCTGTCTCTGCTGGCCAGATCATCTCCATCCAGATAAACAGGGTGATGCCCACTTTTGCTGCATGCACCATTCTGTATGTGGTGTTGGTGTTCCTTGTTCTGTACGGAGCCTGCAAACCCCCCGTCAAGGGTCAGTGTATCGTCTACAAAGCTTTCAAAAACAAGCCTCCATTTTGTAATAGAGAAGGAAGGCAGCTACAGCAGTTAATGTAGTATTTTGTCATTTGTTCACTGTGTGCTTTTTATTAAAAATATCCTTATTTTGAATTTCTTTTGTTTGCTGTCTCTGGCTTTTACAATATTTTGTTACTTCAGAATGCAGCTTCATTAGCAGTGCTTTATTCCTTCTCTGTTCGTTTCTGTGACAAAGAATGGTGGCAATAACATGACAGCTTATTGTAATTTGTTTCAAATATTTTTAATTTGTCAGTTACATTTACTTTCTTCTTTTGCTTTATTTTAGTTCTTCATTTTTTTTTTCTTTTAGCACATTGATCTTTACTCTGAAGATAACCCTGAGCTGCTGTGAAAGCAGAACAATGATTAGATATGTTACTTATCTTTGACTCTTATCACATCATAATTTACACAGTTGCATGATTCAAATCATAAACCAGGTGGGTGACTATTTGACAAGCTATCGATTCGTACAGTAAAAAAAATAAATAAATGTTACAAAAAATCCACTGCCTATGTCCTTTATAAAACTTGTCATTTGTCCATACATGTTATTAGGCAGAGGAAGAAAAGGTTTTATTATTGTTATTGAAAGGGAAATACAGGCTTTTATGTTTTATGCTGTACTTCATGCAATTGTAGTTGCCAGAGCAAAATTGAAATCAGTATCAGATGTTTATGATTGCAAGTGTTTTCTTAACGTGTTTTTTTTGGTACAGGAGAAATTTGGTGAAAACAATAAGTGATGCCTTTTCAGTCAGTTTCAGGTTCTTTTGATCCTGAAAAAAACAAACAAGAACACTATCATGCCTCCAGGAGTTAGAGGAAAATCCTGATTTCATAAAACGGCCCTTGCCACACATGCTCCACCATCATGTTAATATGTAATTTGTAGATGTTTCAGACAGTTTTGTCTTTGGACTCAATTATAGAGTTGCTGCATAAAAGCAATAGTAATTAAATTAAATGGGTATTCTTCTTATGCATCAAATGCATAATTAAGCTCCCTGCATGTAGTTTTGTTCTTGCTGTTATGATTAAACTCTCTGGTAGCACAGTCCCAATTCTCCTTTCATTTATTCCAGTTGAACAAGCCTGGATTTTGTCTGTCTTTATATCCAACATAAATGAGAAGAGAATTGGGCCTCTCAGTCTGGTTACTCCATGGGGCTTATTCACCAACAACTTACCCTGGTTGATGTTGGGTTAGATGAATTTTGGACTGCAGTGAAACAGTGGCCGCAGCTTTGACTGGTGGTTTCAGCAGCGTCATCAGGTTATGTTACTAGTTGGGTTCAGTAGAGTAGAAGAATACTCCATACAAGGAAAAAGTGTTCAGTGTCCATATTGCATCCACCAAAAGCTTCCTATTCCTCATATACAAAACTAAAATTTAAATGGCACAAACTGGGTGGATGGCACTTGTTCTCTTCTATAGATATAATCTAGGCACACAGATTTAACAAATAATTCTCTCCGTTTTGAAAAACATAAATTAATCATTGAACTTGCCTTTAAACATAAAATAATAGAAATGAGTAATTATAATCTTACATCTCAATAATCAGAATTCAGTAATCGGTTTTAGTACTCTGCATTCCGTGTACCTTTTGGATAGTTCTCTAACCAGTGTACACTGAAGGTACAGTAATTTTGAAATGTATTATTGTTAGCTGTTGGAATTATTAAACAGCCATAGTTTGCCCTGAAACCAGAAATCCACTTTTAAATGACTACCCAACCCAAAATCTGTATTAATTTCTGATTATGGCTAGAGCAAAAGCTCGCACAAATCTGAATTCTTCCTGTATAATTCTCAGCTGGCGCAGATGACAAGGTGTATGGTACTTACTTTAAGGCTTTGCGAGGGTTGTAGCAGGGGGAATTGGGTAAGACAATAAACAGCCTTAGGTCTCATTGAGCTTTCAATGAAAGCTAAGAGTGATTAGCACCTCACAGATGATACTTGGTGCCCTGCACAATTAGACTGTAGATATTTGGTGTCCTGTTATGTCTGCTCTCTGACTGTGTTCCTTCTCTTGTGTTTCAGGACGAGTTGGGCTATGGAAAGACATCTTCACTGTTTCAATGAATGAGAAATTTGATTTAGTTTATAAACAGAAGATGGGAAAATGTGACCTCACATTTGATTTTTATTTATAAAAATGCATGCATATGATATCCAAATATAGCTAGAAGTGCTTTATGCATTCATTTATTACCTGCTGGACAAACTACTGTAGCTATTATGTGTAATGAGATTTAAAGAAAGAAAAACAATCTAAGTAAACCATATCAGATACAATTATCTTTGATCCTAAACAGCTGTTTATCTTCTAGTATTTTAATCTTTTGTCCACATGCAAGAACTTCCTAGACAATACTAGAATATTCAGCTGTTACGGAATGTATTATATACGTATAAGGTATGTATCATATATGCAACTAGAATGTACACCTTTTCAGCCCCACATTGATTATTTAATGTGTTTTATAAAAGCTTTTCACTAGAACCTAAAATAGACGTCCGTAAACCAAATAAAAAATTATTTCAGAGGGAAACAAGGAGCAGGCCAAAACTGTATGCTAGAATGATCTCAGGGGTTAATCGTCACATTTATTTTTATAGCAGGTATATCAAGTATAAATAAATCCCATTCCAAAATAGTAACTGATCAAAGTGGGGTTCACATTAGGTTCTGCACACCCTTACCTGTATAATTTGAGTAGGTTCTGTGCACTGGCATACTCTGCAAGACAGGCCTTGTTACGAAATATAGCTGCGATTGTCGCTCTAATCCCCAAACCCACCCATGCTTTCGTGGTTGACAGCACACAGCTGTTTTCCTGATGGATGAAGTTCAGCTCCATGCCGGAGGTCAGCAAACAGAAGTTTCTTATGCCCCCAGCTCTAATCCAGTCCCTCAAAATGGGGCTTAAAAGCAAGGTATCTAGTGCAGGGGCTTTTGTGAGGAATCCTATCACTTTCCTGTGTAGATGTAAGTTTCGCCCATTAGATACAGTAAGAGAAGATCTGGTACGGGATATCCTCTAGTTTCACTAAAGTTAAGGGCACTTAGCACTGTTTATGGTTTGTGCTACTGGACTCCATCAGACTTAAGTGGAAGATGAATATACATGCCAGTGTAAGCAGGCAGAGGAAACAGCAGCACTGAAGGATGAGTGTTTAAAAATATGCCACCAGGTGGGAGTATTGCACAAACATTCATGCAGAATACAGTTTCAGTAACTGTTAGCCATGGCTGGTCTGGATTATAATCAGGATTCAAGTTTATTTCTGTGTCTTTTTTTATTCTCTATGACAGGTACACAAACAGCCTGAAGCAGGCTACTATCACTATAAACGTCTCCAGAATTATTTTATTGTTCTGTTAGCTAATGACATCTATGCTTTTTAGGTTCTCAGCTGCAGGAGGCCCATTTTTGCTAGTCAAATATTCAGGCTCACCAAAAGCCGTGAGGAAGGACTAGCAGATTTTTAGTGTTTCAGTTCTGTTGGGAAACAAACTGTCGGTTCAG